TGTTTTAGTAATCTTTGTTGATAATTAATGTTTTTAAAAAGGCTTTAGACATTAGAAGGGGTCAACTAGCTTCACATCGTGGAGTAAAAACCTGCAGGTAAAGCTGAGTATCTCGTGCATAAAAACTCCTCTAGATAGAGGGGCTGGAGTGTCCATGGGCCAGAGGGAAAGATGCCAGCAAAGAGACAGAACATAAGTTCCCGTCCAGAATGCTTTCTTTCTTCTGCCAGCACCAACGAGGTAAATCGCCAATGAACTCAAGCTCCAGATCTGGCTGTGCAAGTTTTTAAAGCATTACTTAACCTCTCTGAGTTTCAGTTCCTTCATAAAGGAAGATGATGACAGAAGGATTCCCCAAGCTCAGCGCCTGTGCCAGAATGCATCCTCATGGCTATTTTTATCCCCTCACCGATTGGTGTTTCTCAGAAACTCCAAAAGACTAGACCATAGACACAGCCTGTACATTTGTGTCTACCTCACTGTTTGAACTTGTAAAGGAAACCAGTGTGCAGGCCAAGAACAGACAGTTCCCAAACTTTCTGACAGGCGCACTTTGACCTTTCGTGTGTAGTGAACCACCTGAGCTGACCTACCCTAGTTAGAGACCCAGACTGCGGAGACCACATTGATCCTTCAGGCAGGTGTGCTCCAGCAGAGCACTCCTTTGCAAAGCTCCTGTGTAGGCTTTAGTCGAGAGACTCCGAAGTTGAAAGTAAACTTTGCCTGACTCACCCATCCTAACGTTTCATCTCTCCTGTGCCATGTTTCTCTTTTGGTTTGTTTGGGCAGAGTGTTGCTTGTGTGGCACAGTCTGGCCTAGAATTGACTGTGTCCCGAACCCTGTGATTTTCCTGCCTTGGCTTCTTGAGTGCTGGGATTACAAGTTTGCTCCACATACCCAGCGAGAGAGGCGGGGCCAGTGTTAGGTGTGAGCAGAGTGCCCCGATGGTGCCTTAGGCTCAAACTGATCCAATTCCTCATCCATTTTAAATGAAGAGCCAACAGAATGTGCTAGTGAATTGTGTGGTCTGTGAGAAAAAGTATCAAGGAGGGTGACGTCAGGTCTCACAACCCAAGAAGCAAGATGGGAAGCCAAGTTGTTCATGGTGGTCCTGTAATGGTGGTTGGTGAAGAGGGGACGTGCATACTTGTGCAGTGTTGTTGGCCCCGTTACAGTCACGCACGGACAGTGTGCATGTAGTTTATTCTCTGAGCGCATCCCTGACCTTGCTGAACTCACAGTTCTAATCCTGTCACCTGCTGATACTTGCAGTTCCACTGAAAATATGTGCATTTTTCCTTTTGTTTTGCACGCTAGGCCTTCATCTGATGTTATATAGAGGTAATGATAAGACTCTTGTTTATCTCATTTCTGTTGGCAAGGATGTATTCATAGAGTTTTCTTCATTAACTGTGATGGTTGCTATCAATTCTTTTGAAAGTATTCTTTATCAAATTAAATGGGTTATCTGTGGATCTTAGTTTCCTCAGGGTTTTTAAAACTAGAACCATTAAAAAGTACTGAGAGACTGTATTTTCATCTATAGCTTGAGAAGTCTCAGCCCTGTGAGACACTAAGCCTAGCTCCATTGTAAATTATCTGAAAAAAAAAAGCAAAGTGAAATCACTTTGTGTGTAATTCAGCTACACTTACATGTCTTTAACATTTAAAAAAGAAATAGAAGTGATTTATAATAAAATAAGGATTCATTCTGTCACTGCTCCGGCCTGGTCTTGGTTACCATACAAGGTAATGTCTGTCTCTGTGTAAAGCTGGCTTTAGACTGAGATTTCATCCCCTTCAGTGTGCTGATCTTGGAGGAAGCAGCACAGGTTTGCATTGATAGCAGACTTGTTTAATTAGAGACAAATTATTAGCAGTATTAGAAAGATCAGCCTTCATTAGGATAACTTCAGGGCTTCTGGAAAAATGAGAACATTTTTCTGCTGTTGACCAGGGGAAAGGTTACTTACTCAGTAAGTGTTTGCCGAGAATCTGCTATGGGAAGCCACTGTTTTAGTTGTTGACAGTGAAGCTGAATGAAGCAAAGCTTCTTCCCTCTTTGAAGTGCTGAATGGAGGAGAGCAGCAAGCAAGCTGCACATAGGATGGTGACAAGCACCACAGGAAACAGTGATGCAGGGTAATAGGTCAGATGTGTGTGTACACATGTGCATGCCTGCGTGCTCGCCACGAATTCACTCACTCACGAACAAGCTGTGTTGGGTAGGGAAGTAAGAAAGAAGTCTTGAGTTGAGTTCCATGCTAGGGGCTGAAGGTGAAAGTCTAGGAGGAGGGAAGAGGAACAAAGTTGGTGTAGGAGCTGAGCAGATGTGCGGTGCCCAGCATGTGCGGTCCTGTGTAGGAGCTGAGCAGATGTTGTGTGGTGCCCAGCATGTGCTGTCCTGTGTAGAAGCTGAGCAGATGTTGTGTGGTGCCCAGCATGTGTCGGTCCTGTGTAGGAGCTGAGCAGATGTGCGGTGCCCAGCATGTGCCGGTCCTGTGGTGGTACTTAACTTCCAGAGCCTCTGCTCATCGTTCAGGTTATCTTTTGAGATGGGCAGTCATAGCATCGCAGAAACTTCAGCCAGTATTCAAATTTGAACTGTTTGGCTCCTCAGCCATGGGAGCAATGCTTGTTTCAGAGGCTGTCACAACTCGAGGTGCATAATTTAGATCCATTAAGAGAATTAGGAGGGCTTCAGACTATAACTGTCTACGGTTCTTTGAGTGTTAGTCTAATATGTTACTGGATAAATACAGGCTGTGGAGTATCGTGAGTGGGGAACATTACTGATTATGTAAAGTATTATTCATTTCTGCCTTTTATTTATATTTCTTACTGAAGCTTTTATTATATTTTGTTGTTCATTTCCTTAGTTAATAATGCCACTATCTAATCAGGAGCATGAGCTCATTGTCATTGATTGATGTGATGAGTTTAGTCGTAGATTTGTGCCGGCTTTAGCACAAGTGAGCAGTTGTAAACTCAGTGCTTTGTCGGGTGTCGTCTGTTGTGGGACAGCAGCAGTCAAACGCCTGTGGGAGACATTGTGTCGGACTCTAGGACGTGTGGCCTTGTAGACGCAATAGTGCTTGCCTAATGCAGCATGCTGTAGAAGTAAGAGCCGGTGCATGGAATAATGGTCATGGCTAACATTTGAGTATTGTTGCCTGTAGGCACTTTTCATCCGAATGTCATCATATCTGAAATAACGGAATATTTTATTAGCTTAGATGACAGTCATTTTAGTAGTCCCAGAGAGTAGTAGACCTAGAATAACTGAAGGAGCAGTGTGGTGTGTAAAACATTAGTTGTGCACATCTTTGATCTGGTTTTAACGTGATAAAGCAGAGACTGAGTCCCCATAATACACGGACAGCAGTGTGCCCGTTCGTACACTTGCATCTGCAGGCCTGACTGTGTGAAGGAGGTAAACTGAGATACTTTCTATCGTAGCAGCTAAGAACAGAGGACATCAGCACATCAGAGCTCGGCCTGGCTTGGGCCCAGAGTTCAGTTTCTTCCTTTACTAGCCGCTGGCCTGACCTGCTGTCCTCTCCGTGCATAGTCGCTCTCCTGGAGTTAGGCTTTCTAATAGAGAAAACCGTAATGAGTTTTGGGGAAGCACTTGGCATTGTAGCATCTGTAATTATTTGAGAACCATCATTATTGTGGGTTGTCTTTGTTGTTACTAAACTAAAAGATGCTTAAAAATTATTACTAATTAAGGAAGAAATACCCTTCTCATCACAAAATACTTGAAGTTAAAGAGATTACAAATAAAATAACTTTCTATAAGATAATGTGTTACCAGACTTCTTTAGTTAAAATGTCTGTTATTTCAGAATACCTCCTAGTTAAATTAAATGGGTTAACTGAATTAATCTGAGAAGTAGAACTTTGTTCCTTTCTAATAAGTGTTACATCATTCAGTGTCTAGAAGTAGAATGGAGAAAGCAGTGCAGTCAGCAGCTGTACTATAATGTGTTGTCCTCTTGATCTGATAAGCCAAGGCTGAGAGGTGGCTCAGTTGCTAAAGGGTTTGCCATGTGGTGTGAGGATCTGAACTCGTCTGCAGCACCCACATAAAAGCCCGGCCACTGAGGCATGTCCCTATAGTTCCAGCACTGGGAGACTGAGACAGGAGGATACTTTGGGCTTCCCAGTAGTCAGCCATAGCAAGCTCCAGGTTCAGTGAGTGCCTGTCTACTAAGGGAATGAAATAGAGCATGACTGAAGAAGACTCAACATTGACCCCTAGCCTCCATGTTCACACGCGTGCACTTTCCCACAGACACGCCCATAAATTCTATAACCAACTAGACCAATGGATTTTTAAATGACTGTTGTACTTTGTGTCTAAATGTCAAATCTCATGTGGTCATAAAAGACACATTCCTTATACTTTTTGTTGTCATTTTAACACAGAGTCTCCACTTTGTAGCCCAGGCTTGCCTGGGACTTGCTGTGCAGTCTTAACAGGCTTCCAGCTTGAGCTGTTCCCCTCTGGCCCCGGGCTCCGGGCTGCAGACTTGTGCCACCGCCCTGCTCTGGAAAGCATCTTTTCTTACATAGAAATTGCAGGGGTTTCTTACATAATATCAGCCTACTTTTTTTTTTGTGTCACAAAGTTTTGTTTATGAATCAGTGTTTAAAAGCATTGTTTCCAGAGGTGCAGGTTGACATTCTGCTATTAAGAATGTGTGGATTTGATTGAAGGAAATGGAAATGCTAATGGCTTCGATTTTGTCATTACAGTTTGTAAACATGTATTGAATTATCGCCCTGTACTGCATTTAATTAAAAACCATTACAACTTTGAGTTCTGGTGAAAGTGTTGCAGGTGAGAGGATGGATCTGTAGAGCGATCTCTCACTAAGGAGCGTTTTCCAAAACAGCTGACTTAAAAATTAGTATCAGCCATTAAATTTCCATTTCTGAGAAGTGTCATACTAATCTGATAGATATATAATACATTCAACGTACTTTTTTGAAGGTTCAGAGGTCCAAAGAAATAACATCCTGTGGATAGCCATGGCTGGGACTCATCAAATATGGGCGCTCCTCCTGGACTCTGGCTCCCTACCAAAGAGAGGGTAAGTGACTACTGTGCCTCTTTGGGGTCCTTCGGGTGCCCTTCCCCAGGTCATCATCCTCATAACACCTGCTGCTGTACCTGTCAGCATGCTGGCCACACACTGTAGGAAAGCTTGGAGCACTGGTCCCCAGGCTGAGGAAGCAGCTGCTGAGAGGGGGAGGCAGTGAGTCACTAACTGGCTCCCGAAGCTGCTGCTCAGAAATGACATACATCACTTGGACTTGTATTTCATCAGCCATGGTTAAGCTTTGTGGCTGCATCTAATTCCTAAGAGCCTAGGGGAGGCCTTTCTTCCAAGTACCTAGAGAGAGAACTAGAAATGATTAGGTGGGGCTTTAATTCTTTGCCACAGAACAAGTGTCTGTGGTCACTCCTTCAGGTGGCTGAGTGCTGCGTGGTTACCGCTCAGACATAGTCAGGCCTGAAACAGAATCCCAGCTGCTACTTACTGTGTAAGCATAGGCGAGCCCCTTTAGCTCTCTGTCATTTTCTGTCACCGCATGTTCTTGGGTCACCTCATGGGATTGCTGCCACTGTTGAGCCTGTGAGGATGGGAGGCAGTATCTCTCCACTGTCTCTTACTTCTCCCTCAGCCTCGCGCAGAGCTGGCCACTCTCCTCTGTGGCTTCACTCTGTGCCTTCTCTCTCACCTCTCTTCTCTTGGCTCACACTTATCTTTAACTTGTTCTTCTTACTAGACTACCTTGTAAAGAAAGCAGTCTTGCCCCATTATGGTTGTGTGTCTAGTACAGAACAGCTCAGTAAGAGCTTTAGAGTAAGAAAACAAGTGAAAGTCCTGGTGAGGTTTCTATTGGGATAAACATCATGCCCAGAAGCAGCTTGGGGAGGAGAGGGTTATTTCAGCTGACAGGCTAGTCCCTCCTGGAGGAGCCTGAGGAAGGAACATAACAGTGGCCATTAGGAAATGCTGCTTACTGCCTTGCCCAGTTTTCTTTCTTATTCACCTCAGTACCATGTGTCCTGGAGTGGCATCACCCACAGTGGGCCCTTTCATAATAGTAATCAGTCAAGAAGATGACCCATAAGTTTGACCACATGGCAGTCTGATGGAAGAGTTTTCTCAACTGAAGTTCCTCCTTCTCTGTAACATGAAGGAGCAGACTTGTTGGGGTTTCTGTCCTGCCTTGTTCCCACAGCTAATAGCCCCAAAGAACCTGTCTTCTGAGCCACCACTCATGCCGTGATGTCAGGACAAAGGTTGTCACACCTGGAGTCCTTTAAGAGACTAGAGCTTTCCAGAAGCTGATGTAGAAAGTTCTAAGCTGAGAAGTGACTTGGTTAGATCTGTATTCTTGAGAGAACCCTTCTAGTGTTCAGAGTGGAACAAGGTGTGACTCAGGAGGCTATAGCTGTCTTCCAGGCCAGAGACAATAGTGACGTGAGCACTGTGGTCACCAGTGATACATGAGGTGTGACTATACCAGCACCCACAAGTGACAGCAGCAGAATATGCTGTCAGGGCTGCCTGTGTCTCCCCGTAAGAAGGGGTGTCACTATTTATAATAGGAAAATGGTTGCTCAAGTTACATTGACCTGCATCTTAATTTTGTTGGTGGATTACTCCAAAGTTAGTACAGCACTGCACAGACTGTGTCTAGTGCAGATCCGCAGGTAGTAGTGACCCCTAATGCTTTAGTGTCTCTTCTCATCCACTTTATTATCATAGGTTTCCTGTATGTTGTGACTTCCTCCCTTGCAGTGTAGGTCTTGTACATATTTCTCTGGCCATGTTTCGTGCATTCTGTGCTCTTGCCTTCCATCACCTGCTTCTGCTTGCTTTAGCATTGAGCAGGTACCAGTTCAGAGTCTGGTCACATTGGACTTCTGTGTGACGCGCCATGTTTGGAGATGGAGAACACAGTCTCTCACTTTGCACTTGAAGTCGGCTTCCTCTTTCTCAGTACCATGTCTTCTTAATCCTTTTGGCATAAATTTAGAAATCAAGGTGTAAACTTTCTCTGCATTACAAAAGGAATCAACTTTTTGAGACATGATGTCGGCAGCTGTTGCTCTGCGCTGCTCTCAGTAGGCAGCTGTTGCTCTGCGCTGCTCTCATAGGCAGCTGTTGCTCTGCGCTGCTCTCATAGGCAGCTGTTGCTCTGCGCTGCTCTCATAGGCAGCTGTTGCTCTGCGCTGCTCTCATAGGCTGTCCCCAGTGTGGAGAGGAGATGGTCGTACAGTTGATCCTTTAGTGCAGCAGTCGTTATGTCGTCTCTGAAAATGGTCATGCTTGTAGAAGACACAGGCGTTTTTAAAGAAAACTAGTCTCTTTATTAATAAATTCCCTTCTAGAACTGCTGTTCTATGAAACTAAGAAGTTAAAATGAGAGTAAAATCATCTCATTATTTCAATAACCTGATCGTTATTGTTGATCCAGGGATTTAGAGGGTGACTTCAGTAGTTAGTATACTGAAGAGAAGTGAGCACTGCACAGTGGCTCACCAAGAGCATGGCTGGACAGACACAGTAGTGGACAGGCAGTCATCACTGCTTCTGTGGGTCTATTGCATTCCTTTTGTAACTTGTGCCTATGCTTGTCTTTCAGTGAGCTAGAGAAAGGAACCTGCCTGCGTGTTGCTGGGAGCGGCAATGAAGAGAACCGTAATAATGCATATCCTCACAAGGCGGGGTTTGCCCAACCTTCAGGTCTCGCTCTAGCCTCAGAAGATCCCTGGAGCTGCCTCTTTGTGGCGGATAGTGAGAGCAGTACAGTGAGAACCATCTCACTCAAAGATGGAGCCGTGAAGCACCTCGTAGGAGGAGAACGAGATCCCATGGTAAAGAAGTCACTATGTGCAGTTCCCTGGATTTTGAGTTATTCATAAAATTTAGGAGGTTCATTCCTAGCCTATCTGTGATAGAATGTAGTTAACCCAGAGACAGTGACTGTAAAGAAACTCAGGTGAGGCCTTGAAGAGGGACCCTGCCTGGTCACACGTAATGCTGAGGCTCCCTTAGAGCATCTGATAAAGTAGCTGCTGTTGGACAGCAGAGAGACTGCTTTGGGTGTAGCGGTGGACTGGACAGAGCACTAGACTGCAGACTTGGCCTCTTCCTGAGCAGACGCTGGCCTCTGAGTGCCACGGCACTTAGCCCGCAGACCCTCGCTGCACTCTCCAGTCTGTGTCACACTCCCAGCTCCCCACGGGAACCAGAGCTTCCCCTTTAGCTTTACTAACACGACGACCTTAGGGTTCACTTTATCTAACAAAACACTGAAAGTTTTTAATAACTGCTGTTTCTTTCTCTTTAAAAAATACAATAAAAGAATTTATTTGCTTTTGGTGATATTGATGGAGTAGGCATCAATGTGAAGCTTCAGCATCCGCTCGGGGTTGCATGGGACGCGAAGAGGAATCTGCTCTATGTGGCAGACTCCTATAATCATAAGGTGAGTCACAGCTGAAGACACGGGGCTTGCTTTTGACCCAGGTGCTACCTGCCAGTGCCACCCTAGTGCAGAGAGCAGCTGTAGCCCTCGGAGCCTTGTGGTGTCTGTCCTGAGGAAATGCTGGCTAATTCCTGTGCCTGTGACTTAAATGTATGAACTGTGACCCATCAAAGCTGCTTGGTAAGGAAGTCAGGAAAGTGTGAGCACAGGTGTTGGAGTTGCGTTTTGTTGCCATGGTAAAACTGACCAAAGGCAGTGTAAGAGAGAGATTCATCTGGCTCACACCCAGGTTAAGGCCGTCCCAGAGGGAAGTCAGGGCAGGAAGTGAAGGCAGGCCTGCTTGCTACTTGCTCACAGACCCAGGCTCACCTGACCAGGGATTGGCCCTACCCATAGTGGGGTGAGCCTCCCCATATTAATAAACAACAGAGTCTCCTCACAGACATGCCCACTGGCTTTCCTTGATTGAAGCTCCCTTTTCTGTTGACTAGAGTGTGTCAGGTTGCCAGTTATGCTCCCGGGGGCACTAGCAGATGAAGAGTTTTGAATTGTAGCATGGTGACAGTGACCATGAGCAGTCAAATCCATCCTGAGCACCTTTTCCTCTGCCATCTGGTTGTCTCTGCTTTCCTGCAGAGTTCTATGTGGCAAGACTTCAGTGTTTAACAGAAGCAGCAATCCGCAGACAGTGTTCTCAGGGAGCTGGGTTAGCTGTGTTCTCTAAGAGGCAGCAATCCGCAGACAGTGTTCTCAGGGAGCTGGGTTAGCTGTGTTCTCTAAGAGGCAGAAAAAAAAGGCTGTTTTTAATTCCAGAGGGGAAATCCTGAAATTAACAAGAAACTATGATATAACTAAGATTTTTTTTAAAGGTTTTACTAGGGATGAAATAGCTCCCTTTTGATGATGTAATTCAGATGTTGGGGAAAATAGGAAATATCTACTGTTTGAAGATGTATTTATCGAGGATGCTAATAACAGCCAGGAGTCCTGGCTTACCTGGCACTGCTGTGAACAGGGCCGACTGCAAGGGAAATGTTTGTTCATTTTTCTTTAGATTAAAGTTGTGGATCCAAAAACAAAAGTCTGCTCAACGCTAGCAGGGACCGGAGATGTAAATGATGCAGCTTCCAGTTTTGCAGAGTCAGCTTTTAATGAGCCTGGAGGCTTGTGTGTCGGTGAGAGTGGTCGGCTGTTATATGTAGCGGACACTAATAATCACCAAATCAAAGTGATGGATCTGGAAGCAGAAACAGTCTCTGTGGTGAGTTATCTTAAGGCGTAGCTTAGAGGACGTGGGTGTAGGGCGACTGAGCTTTAAAGCGCTGCCCTGGCCATCTCTGATGTGTACTGGACACGTGGAGCACGGGAGCCGGAAGTGGATGCCCCTGTTGTTTTCAGGGACAAGCAGACCAGGGACTTGCTTTGAAGGTCTCCTGTTAGTCTTAAAATAGAAGTTTCCATCTGCTGTGAGTGGATGAGGAAAGTGTTGGATTTTGAAGAGAAATGGGTCTGTTTTTAAATGCATAGAAGTCATGACACACTGTATTTGTGTGCTATGTGGCCTTGGTTTTTTTTTTGTTGTTTTGTCTTATTTTTTTCAGTGATCCTTAGATTATTGCTATCTGTCTGTTTCCTGTGGTAAATCCATTACCAAGTCATCTTCTGAGGGAACCTCTAGAAGTCACAGCCCCCAGCCTCTGAAAATGAGATAGACTAGTGCAGATGTGACCAAGTTCAAATTTGTCTTCAAAAAAGCAGTGTTTCCCACCGCTTTATTAATGTATCCTATTTACCTGGATGGAAGGGGGCTTTTTATTTTTATGAGGTACTTTGTTTAAAAATAAATGCCACAGAATGGCAGCAAAAGTATCATCTTTGGATCCCTCCTGGTAGTGAAGGTTAGGAGCATGTATCGTCCTCACGGTCCTTAGATTTGTAAAGTGTAGCTTTAGTTTCCTGCCGTGTGTAAGCACGGGGCAGCGGTTGGATTCTGTGGTCTCAGGGGTGATCTGACTGCTGAGGTGAACTGTTGCCCTGTGCTCTGGGGGGCACTGATGTCATTGATAGAGAATGTCGTGTTTTTGCCCCATCTGAGGTCAGGCTCTCTCGCTTTGGTCCTAAGAGTGCTTCTGCTTCAATAACCCATCCTCTGGTCTTCTAGCTTCCTATCTTCAAGCCTGACAGTGCCATGGTGGATGGCCCCTTCCCCAGAGAGAAACAGAAGACAGTACCCAAAGTGCCCAAGTCTGCCCCAAACATCCAACTCGCCCCTGTGACTGTGTGTCCTGGCCAGACTCTGCAGCTGAAGCTCAAGTTGGACCTTCCCCCAGGAACAAAGCTGACAGAAGGTGTGCCCAGCTGCTGGTTCCTGACTGCTGAAGGTAGGGCTGGCTCCACAGACACAGGATAAAGCCCCGAGGCTGAGCCGATAGCTTTGTTAGATATTTTACTGTGTGTTTGGGCAAGATTTAAGGGAAATTTATGTGAAAACTGTGATTCTAGCTGTAACACCAGTTTGATATTTTTCTCTTGGCCTTTGCTGTCCCCTCTTCCTTTTCATTAAGAAGATGTGGCCCACGAGAGCCCTCTCATCTCTGAACAACACGGGCTCTGGGAATTAGACCTGCCTGCATGCTTACCTTAGTCTCCCTCTTCCTGCTGTCCCCTTAAACAGCATTTAGGAGGCTGGGGTAGGAGGACTGCCAGATTGAGGCTAGCCGGAGCTACATAGTGATTTCCAGGCCATCTGCCCACAGAGTGAGAGAGCCGGTCAGAAAACCAAAGTTAAATAAATAAGAATTGAAAGTCTGATGAGAAGACATGAAGTGGAGCTTCCTTGTTTAGGATCCTTCTCGGCCTGTGTGTGTCTTGTCTCATGTGGAGTCGGTGTTCTCTGTGCTGTTGTCAGTGCCGTCGGACGCAGCACCATTCTGACAGCGGACAGCAGGTCTACAGAGAAGCCCTGGGCTCGTCTCAGATGCGCTTCCTCTGACTCGTCTCCCACGCTCTTTGGCACATTCTCACTCACTCTCCCATTTCCTGAGCTCCTTCTCCCACACCCTCTCACACAGTTCTTCTGTGTCCCCCAATCCTGGCCTTGAGCCTGCCCACCTTCATACGTTCTCAGGCAGAAGCTGCAGATCTGTAGCAGTCAGTGTGATGTCCAGGCCAAGGGGATCTGCAGGTGGCCTGCTGGTTACAGTCTGGACTGGCCCCGAGGTGGCTTCCCAAGCCTGTGGGAACCACCTCCTCTGATCCCCACAAGAAAGAAGGCTGTACATGTGGCCTAGCTTTGGGGGCAAACTACAAACACTGGGCACAGCACATCCCCTCTCTGGGCTCCAGGAGGTCTAGGAAGGGTATAGCTATTCTGCCTGTGTCTATACGTAGCAAAGCACCCCAGCAATTGGGGAATCACAGATCACATATTTAATTTCTCTGTGTAATTAGAGACCAGTATTTTTTTAAAGTAAGATGTTGATAATTAACCTTTTTTGTTTGTTTTGTCTTTGTTTTTTTGTTTGGTTTGTTTGTGTTTTTGTTTTGTTTTGGCTTTTCAAGAGGGGTTTCTCTGTATAGCCCTGGCCATCCTGGAACTCGCTCTGTAGACCAGGACAGCCTCAGGTCCGCCTGCCTCTGCCTCCCAGTGCTGCGATTAAAGCCATGTGCCACCACGACCTGACAACAATTAACCTTTTTAATTCTGCATTCTTAAACTTTCAAATAGTTGAATTCCGAATCATTGTCATATACAGTGAAGATGGCATTAAACTGGAGGGGTCAAATACCTAAATGTTTTATTACTTGTCTGCAATATTGTCTCTATTTTCACTATATAGAGCAAATAAGCTTTTAGGCAAGAATCCTAGTAATTCAAAGATTCTGAAAGTATTATAGAGCCATGTCTTCACATAGGGATAGAAGATTGTTTCTCTTGGGGCTGGTTCTTGAGAAATAGTTAAAGTGGCTAGAATATGTGAATGTTTTAAAGAACTACATGCATCTTACGTCTTTATAAATCACAAATGTGATATATATGAAAAATACACAAAGAAATAGTTGATGTCTTAATTTCTGGATTTTAATGTTAAAGTAGTTTTTTACTGTCTTGTCTGGATTTAGAAGTCACTGCAGAGCTGTGTGCATTTGTACTCTCGGAAGTTCATTCTGTAGTTTTTAGACGGTCCCTGGAGCTTTTCCTCTTGGGTGAAAATGATCAGCTGTCTCACTGTCCCTGTGCTTGGTATTCAGTGATAGATGTACTCTGAGCAGGGGTGAGAAGGAGCTAAGGAGCCATAGCTGCAGTTCTCAGTTTCATTCCAGGAGAGATCAGTTGTGTTATAGATTTCACAGAAGGGAAGAGCTGCATTAACGAAATACAGAGATTGTCAGTCTGGGAACTTCTCGTGGGGGTCATTATGTCTCACGCCCGCGTGTCATTTCCACAGACCAAAGTGCCGGCATTCACAGACTTTTATAGTAAATACTTGCTGATTAAGAGACACTTTTCTTAGAATTTTCTAGTTTCCTACTTTTATCTTTTCAAATGTATGTATATTTCGTGTGTGAGTGTGTTACATGGTGTGATTACATTGTGTGTGTGTGTATGTGTGTACATGCACATGTTTTTGTGTGCAGGTAGTTAACTGCCACATGTCTTTCTGACGTCTCTGCACCTAAAGTGTTGAGGAAGGGTCTGCCCCTAAGCCCGAGCTCACTGTCCTGAGTAGTCCGACTGGCCAGCCAGCTTGTTTCAGGGATGCCTTGTCCCTACCCCTGTCCTCTGGGATTGCAGGTAGGTGTCACCTACACCCAGCATTTAGGTGACTTTTGAGGTCTGACCACTGGTTCTCACATGGGTGAGGCCCAGAGCTGTACTGACCTCTTGTGTCTTCTGTAGTCTGTATGATACTCTCTCCTGTTTTCTAGGCAATGAGTGGCTTCTTCAGGAGCAGGCCCCATCTGGAGACATAGAGAGTATTTCCAGTCAACCCACAATTGCCCTGCGGATTCCTACCGATTGCTTGTCACTTGAAGCTGTGCTGTCCGTCAGCGTGTTTCTCTACTACTGCAGTGCAGACAGCAGTGCTTGTATGATGAAGGGGATCTTGTTCAGGCAGCCTTTGCAGATAACCGATACCCAGCCAGGCTGTGGAGCTCCTGTAGAGCTCACACATGTATTCTAGGAGTCAGCCCCATCCATCCTCCACCTGCCGTTTAGGAAAAAAGCATTAAAAGTCCATTGCTTAGTTGTAACAACCGATCCCAAATTAAAGTTTCTCTCCTTATTAACATTTTAATTCTAAACAAATGGCTTCATTTGAGCTGTGTACTAGCCAAGTCATCGGGCATCGTGTAAACCACTGTAGCATTAGCTTTGCTGCTCTTGCCACGAGGCTGCAGTCCATGCCATAGTAGAGAATACTGTGTTGTGCAGTTACTTCTAATAGCACTGGGTGTTTTAAATAACCTCTCTGCCCTCATCGGTGGCGGTCATAGTCACGGGACAGACCTAAGCCGTGCGCCTTTATTGAGTCACCTCCACTTAGTGACTCTGGTCTGTCTGAAGCCAGAACAAAAGCTGTGCTCAGTAGACCCCAGAGAGTACAAGAGGGCTGCTTACTATCTCTTCCGTGTTTTCTCAGCTGAGGTATTTGTAAAAGAGAGTTTTAATCTATTTTTATTATAAATTATTTGTTTTAACATGCCATTATTAATGCCTTATAACTTTATACAGAAAAAAGAAAATTCCTGAGAGCATGCAGACCTCTTCTTATATGCCTAGCAGACAATGCCTAGATAACCAGAGACGTGCTGACCCTTGAGGTGGGATTCAGGCCATATTCCTTCGCATGATAGCTTATTGTGATGGTGTAACTTGATATAAGTATTATATTGTTTGGGGAATTTACATTTCAGTTTTAAGAGTTAAATACAGATTTATTGGGTTTGGGATTTTTGTTACTATTTTGGTTCCCATATTTAGAATTTAAATTATGATCATTACTTCTGATATTTTGAAAAAATCACATGTAAACCTTTAAATTGATGTGATCCGTGTAAAGTATTTCAGTGCAGCTGACGGGTATAATCACCCTTTCGTGCTGTGATTTAAAGTGTTGGTGCTGAAGCAGCGGTTTGCTCGCACTGCCTTCGTGTTTGAGTTCTTTAGCCCCGGAAGAGACATGACTGAGACCGAATACGGGGAGTGATTCTCATTGTCGCTGTCATTGTCATAGAACATCATCATAATGGTTTAAAAGCCCATTTGTTTTTTAAAACTAACCTGGCATCTATTTTATTTATTCAGATTATAAGATTTCAGAAGCATCTATAAATTCAATAAGTATCTGTACACAGTCTGGCATAGCATGCCCTCCTTTTTCCCCAAAAGAACTAGATATGAAGTGTAATTATTTAAGTATCATTCTACACATATATTGGTTGATTTTTGAAGTAGTTTTCACGGGTAAAATTTGCTTGTTTTATTATTGAGTTAGCTAAAAGTTCTCTGGAGTAAGAACATATAGAATCTGCAGAAGCTGCTCTTTGAGAGAAATGCAGATGGAAAGGGGCAGAGATCTTGGTCAGAGCTGCACACGATTGCCCGGGAGACCTTTGCAGCAGAGCGGCTACAGCAAAGGGTCTGTAACTACGTCTGTAGCCCATGGGCTGTGGACTGCACCCTCCTGTGGACTGCCTCTTTGTTGGGTTTGTTGTGTTTCTCTTTTCCAGTTGGGCAGGATGAGAATAGTTTGGCTCAACTGTTCCTGATTGAGGACATAAACAGCATCACTCTCTAGAACAGAGTATATACGGTTTAACTAATGTAGAAATAAGGGTTACACAGTTTTCACTCTAAAAATACAAGTGTGTATTCTGTAGTTTCTATACCTTAAAAATTCCCCAAATCCTCTTTAGAATTCCTTGGTTTTCTTTTGTCTGGGCAGAATGTTAGTTTAGTGCTCAGTGGTTCCCTGGTCTTCCGAATGCACAGTTTACACAGTTTGACTCCTCAGCCTCACCCTGCCTCTCTACGCTCCTGTTGACGCTACAGTGTTATCAGTAGTAGATTAGTGTAGGTTTAGAAAACTCACACTGAACAGTGCACATAGCTTCCTAGACTCATGGGTGACATAATATCACATAAGGAAACACTGGAAAGTTTAAAAACTTGAGGACCTGCAGCAGCCTTCTGTTTTCTCTGTTGAGCTGTTTGTCTTACAGCCTGTCTGCTCTGGGGCTCCTGCTGCCGAGATAAGGATGTTGGCCTACTTTTTGCAAGGTTGGGAATTTGGGGAGCATAATGAGAATGTGTGACTACAATTTTGCCACAGATTCAGAACTGACTGCTCGTTCTTGTCTATCAGCTGAAGAGACTTGAGCTTACCTGCTGCCATCGGCAGGACAGTGTTGTGACTCAGTGGGAGAATGTTTCTTTGCCATGTGTAGAGACCCTGGGTTCAATTGTCAGAGGGAGAAAAAAATCATGGAGAGTGAAGTTTTGTAGTGGACAATAACAAAAATATTTGCAGGAAGGCTGCATCATTAATGCTCATAAATGAGCAAACTCTTGGTGTTTATTTTCATTCTGCTTCTCTATCTTTCAATGATCAGCACTTTAGAAAGATCTAATATCTTTAAAGATAAATCTGAATAGAAAGCACTAATGTAATAGCTTTTCTAAAGCCACTTCCATTACCAAAGATGGGATCTAGTTTAGAGTTTTTTCATTTACCAGTTTCCTTTAAAGTCAGTTGGTGAGGAAGGAGTAGTCGTGGTGTTTCTGTGGTGTGGCACAGTGTGGTGGCCAGAGCGTGGACTCTGTGGCAGTCTAACCCTGTAAAGCAGGGCTGCCCGGGCTCGCTGCCAGGATTCAGTGAAATGTTCACACGGCATTTAGCACGGAATAATTTATGAACTGCTACTTATCAGTTTGGTTACTAATAATGACAATAATTTATGGCCGCAGACACGTGCTTGACATTTTTTTCACAACTCCAGCTTCTAAAGCAAAATATTTCTTCCCCATCTGACATGTTAGTATACCCGGTAGAATCTGGGCTCAAGAAGAAAAAGGGCACTTAGTGGTGGGTGTGTTACTCTTTCACCACCTTGTGTTCATAAAGAAGGACCCCCATAGTGAAGGGTTTAAAAAGATCTTCTGGGACTTTAACCAGTGAATCCATTCCATAGAGAATCCAGACATAGCTGGAAACCTCACCACACTCTTATAGTTTGTACAAGCATCCTGAGATTGTAACCAGAATGTCCCGGGAGGGTACTGTCTCTCCCTGGGATGCTGTTCTCCGGATCTTCAAAGTGCTTTCACATTGATTTCCTGGGGTGGGCTTCAGTACAACATACAGACTAGATAGGTGTGAGCCATGTAGAGACGGGTGCTGCTTTGGTATGGTGGTAGCCCATCCGCAGGTCAGGAAGCTCCTATGATAGAGTCCAGGGCCTAGAACAGGGCCGAGTATGTGGGCGTGAGTGGGTGTGATGAGTGTCCTTGATGGCTGTGTGACTAGTGAGCAGCAGGACTGACTGGGGCTCTCACAGATGGGGAGTGGAGGAGTAATTCTGCGCCCACCGCCTCAGGCTTTCAAGACGGGGCAGGGGAGTCACAGCCATTGAGTTCTTGCCATCTGCTGGTGCTTCCCCGAGTGCTTTGTGTTGACTGTGTGTCCTCAGCACAGCCTCGCAGTGGAGGACGGGTAAACCCCAATCAGACGCTGAGGAAGTGGCAGAGCCTGGACAGTTGTCTGCCCGCTGCCTGCCGTGTTGTCTCTTAGACATGCATGGTTCACATATTTCGTGCCTTTATGTAGTAACTTATCAATCTGGAGAATTCCAGGAGCCCTAGGAGTGATTGTTTTTGAAATTCAAATAATGCCATTTAAATTACGTAGCTTTAACTAAACTCTTAACTGCCTGGGCCTTGGAATAGTGTATATATAATTGTTATTTCCCAGAGGATTTTTCTGTGCCCCGATTCCAGCCATTATCCTTAGTTCTTCTCAGCAGGTGTGTGTACAGAAATAGCAGTCAGGACTGTCCGAGTGACCTCATCCCAAAGAACAGGGCTGGTGCGGTCCTGAGAAGTGAGGTGTAGAAGTGTGAAGTCCTCTGCCTTCCTCCATCCTTAATGGTCCTGTGCGGGCGGACATTCTGGTGATTCAGAAGTTGTTCCTGATGTCAGCTTAGCACTGCAAGCCAGTGCTGCTTCCTGACGGGCATCCCAGGGTGGAGTTAAGTGACATGGTAGTGAGGTAGGCTGTGTGCAGTGAGCATGCTCTGCCTGTGTCGCGAGGGTCATTCCTGGTGTCCGTGCCTGACTGTCCTGGTCACTTACCTTAAGGTAGACACAGTGCCACTCACCAGTTGCTTTTCCCACCTGTGTCCCATAGCCTGAATGAAGAATTGGCACTCACCAAGCCGCTGGTCTCACCCTGACCTTAGTGAAGTGTGCTTTGCTCCGTTTCTGTGCAGCAGGGCAATAGAAAGAATGGGATTTGAGCCACATGGCATTCTATGGCTAATAAACCTCGGCTCCTGCATATGCTGACTTGTGGCAGAGACTGGCGCTCAGCTCTCAGATGGCTGTAAGAGAGAGCACATGGGCTGGGAGACGAATAGGACGAGCTCTCCTGCAGGTTCTCCTGGTGCAGCTTTGGTTTAATCATTGTCAGAGGTGAGAGGTAAAAAGCTCAAACCCTAGACACTTGTGGAATGCGTGCTTGGGTGTAGTTACTCATTCTTGGTGTGTGCTCTCCTCCCCTGGCACGTCACTCGTGTGCCTGTGGACACTGCTGTTGACAGCCTTCTCACCCAAGGAAAGGGCTGCCAGCATTTTCAAGAGCACTTCCCCCGTGTGCACGTCAGCTTTAGGTTAGAAGTGAACACTAAGCCAGCAGCCCTGTGCCACAAGTGTTCTGTCTGCCCTGCCTAAGAAATGGACTTGAGCAAAACTGCTTTTAAATAATCTGAAACTTAGTCTGAAGTGTAGACAAGCCGTTGGTACTCTTGGGATGCTTAATTACAGCTTTCCACTTGAAAACAAGGGTCAAGATCCTCTGAGATATGGGCAGTTCAAAGGGAATTGTTATTCTGTACCTAGTTTCATGAGAAAATAAGTTGAGATAAATAAACCCTAAGGGGGAAAAAACACAAGTCCCTAACATAGCCACTGAATCATCCTTTCTTTTAAAAATTAGTTATCTTTCTTTTTAGTCCCACCAGGAACATGAATGGTTTTTGTTTGCATAGAGTTGGAATGTCTTGTTGATGCATGCCTGTGATGTCATCATTGCCGTTTACCTGCAGAAACCTAAGCCAGAACCCCTCTTGAAGTCCTTGACTTCTCCCTCAGGAGTAGCTGGAGCTTCTGGAGCCTTTGAGGAGCCAGCGTTCCACAAAGCTGTGAATGGGGAAATGTTGTTGTGATGGTTATTTTTCTAGAATCTCTAGTAATGTCTTATTTTTCAAAGGCAGGGGTCCAGGACCCTGTGTGACTCAAGTAAAGCATCCTAATTGTACATGGGCGGATGGTGCAGTTTTCAGTCCCTGTGTAGGAGTGCGTGGAGAGCCAGGGCAGACACTGTTACTGTTAGTACTTCATGCTTGCTGTGTAATCAAGATGTCCGTCTGTCTATCTGTCCTGTAAGGAATGTTTCCTAGACATGTCACATTAGAGACTTCCCCCTCTTGGGTGGCTCCATTTTGTAGTTTCATGTGTGAGACTAGAGGTGGTCTGCCGTGTGACTTCATGCCTTAACAGTGCAAGTTCAGATACTGCTATTCTAGACATGCTTTGGTCTAAAAGAATTTACCTGCTGTGCATTTTTTAAGTGTTTAATAGAGATTGATTAATATATTTTTATGCAACTGTATTTTACATTTCTTTGTAGACCAAACTCTTGAGTGAATTTTAAAGTATGTGGTTAGATGGAATGAGAGCTTGGTGGCCTTCATCAACTCAAAAGAAATGCGGTTCTTGGGGTCCTGGGAAGTGGGAGTATTCTACTGTACATGGAAACCTAAACCTCTTTTACAAAGCTTTGTACTTTTTTTCATGAAATAAATTAAATATTTTCTCTCTAAAGTTGTGTTTCTCTTTAATGTGCTGTGTGTTTTAAGTATATCACTAATTATACTACTTAGAAACCTGTAAGCTGGGCTGGAGAAATAGCTTCGTGGATAAAGCTTGGAATTTGGGCCTCCACCCTCACATAGCAGCTGAGCTGGTGTGGACAGCGGGGGAAATCAGGAACTTCTCTCGAGTTCTTACTTCCATCAATTTATGATGGACTCAGATGGAAGCCCAAGGACAGTTGTATTAGAGTTTGGGAGAGAAACCCCAGGGCAGACACTGAATCTCAGCAGCTTCCTAGAGGAGAAGGAAGAAGCCGCTGCAGCTCGCATGGAAGGTGGAGACATGGTGGACAAGTAGCCGCGTGGAGGGAAGGAAATGTTGGGGAAAGGGAAGGCACACTTAGAAAGGAATAGGAAGCAGCAGCCATTTCTGGATAATTCAGAGGCTTTTGGAGCAGGCAGACTTTTGACCTTTTCGTAGCTGTGGCTCATGAGCTACTGCATTAGAGGCAGGGATTCTGGGAAGGGAAAAGTACAACATCTCCTTAAAGACCTAATTATTCTGTCCAACTCTAGCATGGCTTAATGAGCCGCCTTCCTGGGGGTAGTCCCTTAGTCAGAGTGGTTGGACCAGTGTTTGAATGTTGTGCCTAGATGATGATGTATACTGTGTGTATGCTGTGCCTACAAAAGACCGGCAGAGGGTTCCTGGTTCCCTGGAACTGTGGTTGCAGGCAAGTGTGAGCTGCCATATAGTTGCTAGGAACCAAACCCACATCCCGGAGAAAAGCAACTGGTGTTCCTAACCACTGAGCAATGTCTCCATCCACTGTAAGCAAATATTTAATAAGACAGTTATAGTGGCAGATTTTTATACAGCTGAACTGAGAAAGAGGGAGCTATAAGTCACTACTTGATGCTGGGGGGGAGTTTGGGCTCTACCTAAACTGTGAATTTGAAAGGAATTAATGACTTCAGAGAAATTACCAAAAGCGCAGAAGATGAAGACTAGGATGGAGATGACATTACTGAAAATTACTGAGACGCAAAAGCAATGACTGCGAAGATTGGTGCGTGTGACCATATACACATTGTAAGTATCTGTGTAACACAGTGAGCAGAAATGAAAAGTCAAGTGTAGTGTTACTGTTCTGTTGCATTAGTAAAACACCATGACCTGGACAACTAGCAGAAGGAAGGGTTTATTTGGGATTATGGTTCCTTGGGGATAAGAGTCCATCCTGGCTAGGAGGCATAGCAGCCAGGGCAGAAAGCTGAGAGCCAGCACTCTAATTCACAAACACAAGGCAGAAAAAGCAGACAGGAAGGGAGGCAAGACACACTTCCTCCAGCAAGCTTGTGCCACTCAAATGTCCCACAACCTCCCCAAACTGCCACCAGCTTGGAGACCAAGTGCTCAAGTGTCTGAGCCTAACATTCTCATGTAAGCCATCACATCAAAGAAAACTCAAGACAGGAGAGACAGAGAATTAATATTGTGAATTATTAAATTGGGAATGTACCAGTTTAGGAAATTATCAGGGGACATTAGTATGCGATTGTGAGGAATTTGCAGGAATGAAATGATGTGCCGATTCTGTAGGCTGCTTAGCGAGCCTGTTGATAACAAAATGGCTCTTTACCTTAACCAGACACAGGGACACCCAGACTCAGCAGCCGCATTTGAACAGTGAGTGATCTATTCCCACCGAAATCTGTGAGGAAGTGCCAGGCCACACATCCAGAGGTCCCACTGGTTACACCAGGACTGGCCACGTGCTCTCCAACCCTGTCCTGTCAAAATTGATCACAAAATGTTGTCTCTTTATGTTGCTGTGACCACCAGCAAAGCTGAATACTTTTCTTTTAGAGATAGGTTCTACTATGGAACCCAGTGTGACCTAGAACTCAAAGATCCTTCTGTCTCAGCCAGAATGGTACAATAATTCTCTTGTATTATTTGTTCTTTTGATGACCAATTTCTTGAGTTCTTTGTATATTTTGGAGATTAGCCCTCTGTTCGATGTGGAGTTGAAGATTTATTCCCATTCTGTAGGCTGCTGTTTTGTCTTTTTGACCATGTCCTTTGCTTTACAGAAGCTTCTCAGTTTTAGGAGGTCCCATTTATTAATTGTTTCTCCCAGTGTCTGTGCTACTGGGGTTATATTTAGGAAAATGGTCTCCTGTGCCAATGCGTTCAAGTGTACTTCCCACTTTCTCTTCTATGAGGTTCAGTGTAGTTGGTTTTATGTTGAGGTCTTTGATCCATTTGAACTTGAGTTTTGTGCAAGGTGGTAGATATGGGTCTATTTTCATTCTTCTCCATGTTGATATCCAGTTATGTCAGCACCATTTGTTAAATATGCTTTCTTTTTTCCATTTGATATTTTTTTGCTTCTATGTCAAAAATCAGTTGTTTATAGGTGTGTGGATTAATATCTGGTGTCTTTTTCAATTTCTTTCTTCAAAGATTTAAAGTTCTAGCCGGGCGGTGGTGGTGCACGCCTTTAATCCCAGCACTCGGGAGGCAGAGGCAGGTGGATCTCTGTGAGTTCGAGGCCAGCCTGGTCTACAAGAGCTAGTTCCAGGACAGGAACCAAAAGCTACGGAGAAACCCTGTCTCGAAAAATTAAAAAAAAAAAAAAAAGATTTAAAGTTCTTGTCATACAAGTCTTCCACTTGTTTGGTTAGAGTTACTCCGAGATACTTTATGCTGTTTGTATCTATTGTGAAGGGTGATATTTATCAAATTTCTTTCTCAGCCCATTTATCATCTCTGTACAGGAGGCCAACTGATTTTTGGGGGTTAATCATGTATCCTGCTACATTACTGAAGGTGTTTATGAGTTGTAGAAGTTCCTTGGTAGAATTTTTGGGGTCCCTTATGTAAACTATCATATCATCAGCAAATAGTGAGAGCTTGACTTCTTTTCTGATTCGTATCCCCTTGATCTCCTTTTGGTGTCTTATTGCTCTGGCTAGGACCTCAAGTACTATATTGAATAGATATGGAGAGAGTGAACAACCTTGTCTTTTTCCTGATTTCAGTGGGATCACTTTGAGTTTCTCTCCATTTAGTTTGATGTTGGCTGTTGGCTTGCTGTATATTGCCCTAATTATGTTTAGGTATGTCCCTTGTATCCCTGCTCTCTCCAAGACCTTTATTTGACTTCCATCTTAACAATTTCTAGAAAGTATACTGTTCTTTATTACTTTTCATTTTGTTTCGTTTGTCTGTTTTATAACAAGGCACAGGGATACGTCTAATCCTTTGTCATTGTTCTTCGGTTACTTACCTGGCCAGTGGTTAAGGGGAAGACTTACCCAGCAGGCTCCCAGAGTAACAGACAACTGTATTTTCAGGCTCCTCCTGAATCTGCCCCTTCCTCTCTGAAACAGCAGCATCCAGGAACAAGCAAGGCGTGCTCATTTTCAGAGAAGGAAGATACCTTTAGAATAAACAAAGGGGTAAATCAGTTTAATAAAACTAAGATGGGAGAGAGGGCACATCAAGAGTGTCACCTTGCTTTTCGTCAGAGTCCTTAACAAGCTTTAGATGCTGCTCGGCAGTGATGTGCTCGCCTAGGTTCAATCCCAGCACCACAGTCTGAGAACATCCATGACTCTTAAAAAGTGCTTCTGTCTCTGTTGTGATGGACACACGAATTACATGTATGCTGTGTGATTATCTCTACATGTGTGTAACAGTATGTATGCAGGTATGCATAATTAGCGTGTGTGTTGCAATTTCTGCTTTTCTCTTTGTGTTTGCAGTCAAATCCTATAGGTTAAAGGATGTCCTTTTGGTAAGTAGCTGCTGTCTAGTCAAACTTTGCCAATGACATTTTTCAAAGTATTTTAACATTAAGAGAAGTGAGCAGATAGCATTGCTATGTCGTGTGTCGGGGGTTCCTTCCCTTATTGAAAGGGTCACTGCACTGCCACAGATGGGGGTTCCGGAGGAAGACTGAGTTCTGAACCCCTGCCAACACGTGAGAAGCATCCATTTCCCCTAGTGTTTATGACCTGAATTTGAAAAGAATCACCCAATGAATGATTTCTCTCTGTGTAAATTGAAATTGTTCTATATTTAGCATTTCATCTGAAATGTCACCTCAACCAAATCCCTTTATTAGGATCCATGAGATAAGAAAAATAAATATTTAGAGTGTAGTTTATCTCCCATCCTGGAAATGGAAAGACAATGGCTTAGTCATGTTCAGGAAGCTGGCGCGACCTCGGAATCCCAAGTATTGCCAGGGGCCTGGTGCGGCTGGTTGCCATGTCCTCCTCCTCTCTTTAAGTGGCATGGCCAGCCACATCAGCCCTGCTGAAAGTCAAGGAGAGAAAAGCAGCTGCTTCTGTTTGCTTCACCTCAAGGAAGAGCTGATAGCCACGTGGCCAAGAATCTTTGGTTCTCTTGCTTCTCAGTATTATTAACTTCCAGGCACTCTGGAATGCTTTCGCCGTAGGCTAGGGTTGGATGTGAGCAGACACTTCTGAAATTATTTGAGGAATTCTAATTAGCAAATGTCTCTATCAGATTCGTCTAGGATGGGTGTAAATATAGGAGCTAAGGTTCTGTTACTGTGAGTTTAGCCCTACAAAGACAAGGGTCTATCATGCTTTTAAATGCTATTCTGGAAACTTCTGGGACACAAAGCCAACTGTTTAACAAGCCTGCTAGAGACTATTTCTTGGCTTTAATCCATATACTTTACTCTGTATCAGACACATTCTCTATTCAATGATCACGTAGCTAGGTCTTTATGACCTTCATTGGCCACGTGTCTAAGACTGGCCGTTTTAGCCCCTCTGATAGGATTGCCCACATGCATGCCCCTTGTGCCAACTTTCTGGTCCTCCTCCCAGCCCTTCCCAATCTGTTCACAGCTACCTGAAGCTGGAAAGCCAGGAGTGAAGCAGATCCTTTTGTAGAGAAGATCAATGATGTTGGAAGTAAAGGCATGCATGCCTCCTGCATGCGGCCCACGGGGGCTCCGCAGTCCC